GTGCATTAACCTGAACCGTGACGTCCTGAGGAGGGAGCTGGGCCTGGTGGAGAGGGACATCATTGACGTCCCACAGCTCTTCTGCTTGGAGCAGCTGACGAACGTCCCCTCCAGCCAGCAGACCAAGAAACTCTACGCGAGGCCGTATTTCCCCAGCCTGGTGAGGAGCACAGGGGCGGGCTGGATGTCCCCCTGGGTAGGGCTGTTTAGCCAGCTCTGGCTGGTCCCTTGATATACATGGTGCTGGACGAGAAGTGGGGGCATAGCCTGCGAGGAGGTCTGAGAGGAAGTGAGGTGGTGAGAGGACCCCTTGGGGGAACAGTGGGTGGGGCCCAAGATGGGCGTCTTGCCCAGTAGTGACCATGGGCTGGGCCCTGGGCTAATCCTCAACCTCAGGGGTCATCACTACATGGCCCACCTCACAGACAGGGATGCTGTGCTACCGGCAGAGTCGAGAAGGCCAAGGCCTCTGCTGGCTGAGGCCACGGGGAAGCTCCCTGAGATGGCGTCTTCCTGTCCAGGGAGCCCATGACCAGAGCAGTAGCATCTGGGCCACAGAAGTGCTCACAGTTAACACTCTTCCTATGTAGCATAGGTGAGAAATTGGGGTGTGTGCGTGTATATAGGAGACTCCTGCTAGGCCTACACCTGACCTTTCTCACGCAACCGTGACCCACCACGTGGGCCCTAAGAATGAATTGAGACATTTGAGCTCATCAGTTCCTTCAAACACTTGCAGACTTCTTCCCTGAGGCCCAAAGACACAGGCCCTTTCACCAGTGACGCATGGGCACCTTTTAATTTGACAAGACCTGTGTGGCCCTCTGGGCATGAAGCAGGACTCTGTCCTCAGCCCTGGGAATAGGTCAGGGCAGTGGTGGTAGAAGCTCCTTGGAGAAAGAAACACTAGAGTTGAGAAATGAAAAATGGACAGCAGTCAACTGACAAAGCTAGGGATGGAAGGAAGAGCTTTCCAGGAGAGGAAAGCAAGATGATGGCACAAGACTCAAGGCCAGAATGAGAAATACAGTAGAGGAAGGGACCGGGGAAGTTGGCAAAGCCAGACCTTGGCCAGGCGGGATTTCGGTTTTGCCATTAAGAATCACGTGGGGGCCACTGGAGGGTCAAGCAGGAGTTGGACTGGCCAAGGCTGCTTAGTGATGGTTGCAGCACAGGCCTGGAGAAGGTTGCTGGTGTGTGCTTGCCATTCCTGGTCTAGTCCAACCAGAGGCAACTGGGTTTTCCCTTGCATTGAACCTGACAGCATTTCTTAGAGGGATGGGGCACTCTTCCTTGGTTCCAGCCTGCCCAGGCCTTGCCTATCTGTCTCTCCGACAGCTGCGGGTGATTGTGATGGGCAAGAACTTGGGCATCCCCAAGCCTTTTGGGCCCCAGATCAAGGGCACCTGCTGCCTAGAAGAAGAGATCAGCCGGTTGCTGGAGCCCCTGGGCTTCAAGTGCACCTTCATTAATGACTTTGACTGCTACCTGACTGAAATTGGAGACTTCTGCGCCTGTGCCAACATCCGCCGGGTGCCCTTTGCCTTTAAATGGTGGAGGATGGTGCCTCAGACTCAGGCCTAGCACCGCCAGCCCTGCCCCGGCACGAATGGCCTGTTGCCACCCACCACGCAACAGCGTTCTTTGCCCTATTTGGGGGCCTGGAGTCGAGACACCATGCCCCTTCCTTACCCTGTTCCCCCATCCTCAGTACCTAGAGGGGTGGCAAATGCTACCAGCTTGAAACTCTTGAAAAAAGACGGAAATTGTCTACAGCTGAGAGGTGGTTACCAGCTACCCATTAAAGCTCTAGCGGTTGTGAATGCATCTGGGCAGTGGCCACCTCATTTGGTGGAAGGGGTGGCAGCTAAGGACGAAGAGCTGAGCTGCTAGGACAGCCGAGGTCAGGCTGCCTCACGTGTACAGACAGGGGACCTGGCTTGTGCCGAGTTGTTCTCATCTTTTAATGTCTTTGTAGTGCGAAGTGGTTGGAGTCAAAATTATCACCTGAAACAAACTGGGTCTAGACGTTTGAGCAGCATGTGACAGTCCAGAATGGGGTAATGAAGAGGGCTCCCCCTTGGGCCTGCCCAAGGAGGGGTGGTAGGTGCCTCATGAGCAGCCGGCTTCAGCAGGTAGAGGCTCTGGTCCCCTTGGGGTCTGCAGGTATAGCCTCTGAGGGGCAAGGCACAGCTGGGGTAGGCTCGGGTAGACTTGTCAAGCCTGGTATCTAAGAAGAAATGCCCACTGAGACCTAAAACTCCTTATTTCCATGTCTGCGTGTAACTCCCCCGCCCCCAGCGTTAATGGCACAGAGATGCTATTAAACCAAATGATTCTGAGAAGCCCTCATAACCGCTGCTGCCCTCCTCCATCCCCCTTGGCACCAGCGGGAGGCTCCAAGCAGTCAAGGTGCTTGGAATAGGGACAATGCGAGGGGCGGGTCTGACAACACCAAGCAGCCAGCATCTGAGACTCCAGAAAGAGGTCACCAGTGTTTAGATGCTGGTGGCCTGTGCAGTGTAGCTCAGCCTGGGCAGAATGGAAAATGCACGGGGCCTCTAATAAACACAACTGGCTTCTTGGCGCCCCCTGGTGGGAGCTCAGCACACTGCCCATGACAGGCCAGTGCAGACTGAAGGTCACATTTGTGACCATGCGCTATTGACCACAGGGCTCCCTTTCGAAGTTGGGGAAAGGTGGACGACAACAGATGTTTCTGGGCACACAAAGCCTATCGCTGTTCTGGCGCCTTCCACGCCTGACCTCATCCTCAAAGCCTCAGTGTGCTGTGTATAAAAAACTTTGGGGCAAGTGAGGTGCTGACCCTGCCCAGGGGTCACACACTTCAAGGGACAGAGTTGGGATCTCCACTCACCTCCCAACCCCAGTGTGGCTTAAGCCGAGAAGCTGAAAGGACGGATCCCCACCCCTGGGGCTCATCCTGGGACAGCCCCCTTTAGTGGGAGCCTCGGCCTGGGCGGCAGGCAGGATGCACATGAGCAGAGAGCTGGGAAAAACGGAGGTGCTAAGTTCTGCAAAGGAAGCGCAAAAGCCAAAACAGAGTAAACAATGATGTTGTTTATTTAAAATGTTTACTCCAAGAAATATATATATAAAAAAAATAAGACAATTACAGCACTAAACCAGGCACCTTCACCAAATCACAACCTCTTCTTGGATCCCCTTCACCCTACGCCTCTTCTTCCAAATTCTCCTTCCTGAGCTGGAAGGCACAGCAGATGCCCCAAGGGCCCAGTGCACAGCACTCCCAGCTCAGGTGACTCTGCCCCTTTCTCTCAGAGTGCGGGACCACCAACCTCGACTCCTTGTTCTGAAGGGTTTTCCCCATTAGGAAGTTCATTTTAAAACTCTAAGCCAAAAGGAGTGATTGTGGGAGACGAGAGCGCAGTCTTCGCTCGTAAGGTACACCCCAAGGTACACCCCCTTTCCTGCTCCAGTCCCTGGCGAGGGGTTCTAGAAAAGGCTGGCGGTGGGTTTCAGATTAGTCCGTTGGAAGATCGAGGCCCTGCTTCGCCAAGGGCAGCTCCTGCAAAGGCCAGGACCCAGGCGACTGCTCCCTGCACCCTCTTTGTGACTGCACGACCCAAGGGAGGCTGTTTGGGTTCAAGGAGCATATACATACATGCCTAACCCCATTACAGGAAAAAGACTGGACCAGGAAAACTGATGGGCTGCACATATGGAAGCTCGAGTGAGAGATGGTGGTTTTGGGGTGATTTGGACAAATCAGGTTAGTATAGCAGAAGCTCTGAAGTAGCAGAAGCTTCTCCCCTGGACTACTGATTGAACACAGGACACCAGAGATGAGCATGAAGTCAGACTAAACCTTAGAAGGATGCAGGCCGGTCTCCTCACACAGGCCTTGGGACTGGCCAGGATAGACTGTTACATGCCCTGCAAAGGCAGAAGCCACTGTAAGAAGGAACGGGAGAGGAGTAGGGGAAAAAGCAACAACTAGATCATTTTTGGCATTTTAACATCAAGACAATGACAAGTGGTAACAATAGAAAAGCAAAAAACAAAACAAAACAAAACAAAAAAACCCAACTCAATATTTAACTTTCTCATCCACCCAAGTCTCACTCTGAAGTTCTAACCCATCTCCCCCATAAGCACCACTGAACTACAAAATCTATTTTAAAGCACCCAAACCAGTCCAGACCCTCTCAAAACCAAGAGCCCCAGCCTAAAGCTGTCGCCTCTCTTGGGTCCAAGTGAGGGGAGGGTTCCGGGAAAGGCACCTCGTAACTCATGCAGAGCAGTGCGGCGCTGGGGACGAGCTCGGGCAGAGGGCACTTGGCAGGGAGTTGGGTGGCAGTCACAGCATCTGTGCTGACACGCGGGGGAGAGGGACTTCTTCATAATCCCAACTATTTGGTACCACAGCCAAGCAAATGTGACTAGAAGACTTAGCAGAACTGGAACCCGGGTCTCAGAGACACTGGGTCATTCCAGCAGGATCCAGCCGGGGTGGAGGGGAGAGAAGGAGAGAAGCACGGAGGTGATGAAGGCTGGTACATGAGAGCTGGTCCTTCCTTGCCAGGACACCAGAATGCACTTCTTGCTGCTGGCTGACCAATCTCTAATGGCGAGTGCTGGCGAGGTGGCCCCCGGCTCCGCAGGAGCCTTAGAGCCGGTTCTCAAACCACATACACTGTCCCCACAGCTGCCCATCCCTCAAGTCCCCACCGAGTCCACGACCACCTGATTTTTACCTGGACTTCTTTACAGCTAAAATGGATATAAATGGCTAAATGCGGACCCCAGAGCCCCCACCAGGGGGGAAACGGCAGATTCTGATAATGTCACAGCCAAAAGGCAGTAGGGCTTACGAGCAGCCAAGGGGAGGACAGACCAAAGGCTGGGCTCAGCCAGTCTACAAGAAAAAGCGGGAAGCAACGACCCAAATGCTTCCAAAGCACGCGGGCGTGATTCTGGCTGGAGATCCACCCCTAGGGACCCTCTTTACCTAAACGCTGCCGGTTCCCGTAAGGAACGTTGTTTTTTCTTTTTTTTTTTGAGTAAATGGGGACTCCTCTCCCAGGTAGCACCCACCCGGATCACAATGCTAATTATGACTGTAAAGGGGAGTTTTGAGAAGTAGATTTAGGAGAGGGGTGGGGGAAAAAGGAAAACTTAAAAAAACCTAGATTGCTCAAAGTTTCTGCCTCTTTTGTAGGAATGGTTAAGTCAACTATGAGCAAATATTTTAATTAAACATTTAGAGAGAAAAAACACTTTGGAAAGCGTACAGAAAAGGTAGTTGACGTTGGATCACTTATAAAACGGAACCTCAGGGAGTCTAACAAAAATGCACCTTCGGTCGACTTTTGCTCGTTTAAATTCCTCGTTCTGACTTCCCGTCCCAGTGCACATGGAAATGACAGCTGCCGCGAAAGGTGGAGTGGGGACTCCGGGACAGTCAGAGGGTGCGGGGGTTATACTCTGGCAGTTTCTTGATCTTCTCTTTCTCGGTCTCACTTTCATCTCTCGCGATGACCAAGGAGTGTGAGTAGCCCATGGCAACCTGGGGGAACAAATCAGCGTTGGGCGTGCGAGGGCACTTCAGCGCACAGGCGTGTTACTTAGTGCACAGCAGACAAGCACAAGGCAGACAACAGGACGTGAGTCAGCTAGGCTGGCAAACTGGGTCCACATGGAGAGAAATGGAAGACTCCTGAAAAGTTCATAAAACCCCTGTACTTAAGGCCAGTAGTCTCAGTGTGACCCGTCCCCAACACCGTGCCGACCAAAGCCTTCTAGGCTGCCACGGGGAGAGACGGAAGGAGGCCACTGAGCAGGGCTTCGCCGCTACTGTCAGCAGGGGCTGGTGGGGGACATGCGGGTCATGCTTCCCATTCCCTGTGCCTCTCTGGACCACAATCCCATCTTGGCAGACACAGGTGGCAGCCTACTGGACATAATAGCGGAGCTCACACCTCATCCCCGGCCCCACTTCCCCAAGGGTGTGTATGTAGTCTTGAGCGCAGGTACAAGGCAGGCAGGAGAGCCACTTGCTCTAGAGCCCGGCCCGCGTGCCCCTGTGCGTGCTCCTGCTCATGGCTGGGGGTCATCAGAAGACTCTTAGCACAGGCAGCATGCAAAGACCACAAACAGGCAAAGTGAGGTACAAATCACATTTTCTCTCTGCTACCAGCACCTTCTGCTTCTCACTGGCACAGGTCCTCGCTCACCTGCTCTGTGAAAACGCCGTCCAATGTCTTCACCTCCTGAGCTGCGGTGGAAGACTTGGGCTTGTGGTCCCCATAGCCCTGAAGAGGCAAGCAAGGAGATGCTCAGGGAACTGAGGTCGCTACGGCACGATCCGAAACAGGACAAAGGCAACCCGCTAACTGGAGCCACAGCCAGACGCTGTGGGGCCCTCCGTGACCGAGCTCCCGCTCAGACACTGAGGCAGGCCAGGTCAGAGTATTCGCCCACCAAAGCTGCTGCCCACAAGTGACCAGTTCATAACGTGAGCAAGACCAAGATGCTGAATTATAACCTATGAGGATTTATGTGATGACGGGTACCTTCTGGGGAGTGGCACTGGTGAGGTGACACCATCATGAGCCCAGGAAGAAATGGCAACTGCAGCCCTTCAGGGTTACAAGGTCACAAAGAACGGTGGCCATCTACTCGCCTACCCTGTGGTCTGGAGACCGAATAGCCATCATCTGTTATGGTAATGACACCAGAGATAAAAGGGACTGGTCAAGGGCTGCCTGGCGGAGTCACATGCAAAGGCGTGGGAACGGGCGACTGCCAGGCCAGCAGACCCCTCGGCTCAGCTCAGAGGGGCCTACAGGGCGGGCACGGAAGCATTACTCCTTCCCCTACAGTGAGTGGTTCCCCCAACGGCCACACCATCTTCTCATTCCCGAGAGGTGGCCCCAAAAGTTCTTGATTCCCTTCTTTTTTTTAAAGTTGATATTCAGAATCTAGTTCTGATAGGCCCCCCCAAACACCCTTTAAGAATAGTCCATCAAAACGGCCCGATCCTCAGGTCTCTCAAGGTTCTGCACGGGCCCGCCTCCGAAGGGGCCGCCCTCAGCGTCTGCTGCACGTGGATCCCCCTCAGAAGCTGCCGGACCAGAAGCGGGTGCGGAGCACCCAGGAAAAGATACGTTCGGCCCAGCTGTCCTCGAGACTGCTCGCGGGATCAAGCCCGCCCTTCCCTGGCCTTGGCACCCCGCCGGCTCCCGCCCGCGACAGGAGGAAAGGGAGACAGACCGCCTTCCCAGCAGGAAACACAAGAGCCAAGGTGAGGATCAAATCGCAACCAGAACGGGCGGACCGTCAGGACGGGCGCCACTGCCAAGCTGTTCTTCTTGACGAAGAAATTAAAAGTTAAGGACTCACCCAGCACCAGAACCCGAGAATCAGAGACATTTGGTTGGGGAAGGCCAAGTATGCGTGAGAAACCAAGGGCCATCGGCTGTAATCACTCATGTGACTGAGATAAAAAGCAGGGAACACAGACTTAAATTTATTTAGGAAAATGAGAAAAGAATGTCCCCAAATGACCTGGGGCTGGCCTGATGGCACACTGCTATGTGGAGCAGCAGAGGCTGCTTACTGAGCTTTTAGAAACGCTTCGAGGACCCGGGGGGAAAAGCAGATTCGAAGCATGCTCACCACTGGGCACGGCGTCTGCACCCCCTGGAGATGGAGGAGTGACCGTGCCCGTTCCCATCACCCTCGCTCCACGACCGTGGCTTACAGAATGCAAGGGGAGGAAACGAGATCTGGAACTTCTCGATTTCCATGTTACAATGTGGACAGAAAGGACGCGCAGTTACAGGGGACCCGGGAACGACGCAGGGTCGGGGGCACTGATCCACCTGCAGCTGAAAGTCTGTCTGCGTGTAACCAGTCGGCCCTCCGCATACGCAGATTCTCAACTGTGGGATTAAACCATGTACACAGGATTGAACTGTGTGGGTCAATAGATCTGCAGGAAATTGAAAAAAACCTGTGTCTAAGTGGGCCCACGCAGTTCAAACTTGTGTCATTCAGAGGTCAACTGAATTTGTGGGCACAGAATAGTCTTAGAAGCTCACGTACCCAAAGACTGGGGAATGTTATAGATCTTAACACAACAAGGATAAAAGACACTTTCTACGGTCTATGTGCTTTTCAGGCTCAGTTTCAGCGAGCACGAGCTGGGTCCCGCCCCTGCCACACCAGCTTACCAGTTCCCCAAAGGTGGGTGACGGGCCCCAGCTGATCGTGCTCTCGTCCGCAGCCACGATGATGCTGCTCTTCCTGCAAACAGGCAGAGGCGGTCACCACCAGGTCCGGCAGCCCGAGCCCCAAACCCAGGAACCACAGGGCCCGGACTTTCCCGTCTCATCACTCCAGGTTCCAGGGCTCTTGGGGAGCGGGGGGATCACTTTTGGGTGAACACACACATTGGGAAAAGGAGCGACTGAATCAGGGTGAAGTGGGAGCTCGTTCTGAAGGGGGTGGAACTTGATAACCACTCAGGCGAGGCTGGCGATTTCAAAAGATTATAAAGCCACCCACCCCACAACCGTTAACCCCACAATCTAGCCGTTAACTCCTCAAACTCCAGAGAGCTTACCAAGTGTCCTCAAAGTAAAATGAAAAGTCACTGACTCAGAGATCATTTCTCCATTCCAGCATCTGAGTAACAAATCCCACCATAGCTCCAACTAAATATAATTTTGAGCCTATAATATGAGCGAAGCACACCAAACCTTCAAAATGACTTTCTTTCCATGAAGGCAATGGAACGAGAGTCATCTGTTCTAAGACCTGTCAACCCTCTTGACAAGTCCCTCTCTGGGATTGGGTGCGTCCGATGCCCTGAAGGGGACAGAACCCTCAAGGGAGAGGCACCTCCCATGTGTGTCCCATACTCCCTGGGCGGGGAGAGACACCTCACCATCCGGCTCACCAGGAAACAGTCACGTACCCACAAGCCAGGCTCCGGATTCTCCAGCCACAGAGGTCCTGCACGGCCTTTGGGTACATGGTAGATTCACGGGACGTGTTGGTGGCCCCCCAGAAAAACAGACCACCTAGAGAAAGACAAACATGGTCCTTCCGTGAGCTGCCATCTCAAGAACTAAAGTCTCATCTTCAGTACCATCAACGAGAAAGGCAAGTGGATAGGGACCATCATGCAAGATGCTCAGCACCGGTGACAACGAAGGGGTGTTCTGTTGGAAAGAACACTGGGAAGAAGCCAATGAAATCAAGGCTCTTGGTCTTGGGAACACTGACAATGGCTACGTGGCTCCCACCGGAACACTGCCAGGGAGGGAAAACCACACATGGTTCTGGACACCTTCCTCCTGAGACCCAGATGGAGAAACCACTGACCCACTTCACTGACGGCGAAGGAGCAGGTATAGCCGGCGTAGATCTGGGACGCCCCGCGCCCGGGAAAGTCAAACAGCTTCACCAGGCGGGGGACCATCTCGTCCTTCTGCTCAGCGTGGCCCAGCCGGCCGTAGCCGCCGAAGCCCCAGGAGAAGACGCGCTTCTGGGAGTCCAGGACCAGCTGCGGGAAAGAAAACACAGGGTGGGGACAGGCCTGCCAACAGGAGGGGATCTGGTGCAGCAGCTAATGGCCAAGGGGCTGAAACACTGTAGGGATCTGTCCTACCACCTAAGGGGCGAGGTGACTGCAGCAGGTGCAGCAACCCGAAGACACGTGTTGTTTTCTCTGCCACGGACACTCTTTACTGTTCTTAATTATTAAAGTCACAAGTACCTCCCCCTCATCGGAAGCACGAGAGTTGTCTGCAGAGCAAGCCGATGCTTCCACTTCCTGTGATAATACTGGCTGAACTGCAGAGAGCCGAGACAAAGCCTGCCTGCCTTGTCTTTAGACGCCCCCACGAACATGCAGGTGGTCGCCACCTGGTCCCTGACGCACAGAGCACTGACGTTTCAACAATTTAAAACCCATCTTCTTTTCTTCTCAGCATCTTTGATGCTTACTGTTTGGATCACGTGAAGGTTCAACCTATTACAACTTGACCTAAGAACCCTCAACAAAATCTGACTTCACCTCCCCTGACAAGACTATAGAAATGAAAATCAGCTTTTAGACTTGCTAGCCTGAGTCACTGTGCAACCGACGGAGAAGATGACCCCAGGGGAAGCAGCCATGCCGAGGTCACTCAGCCAGTCAGCCACCACCAGGAGACCAGCCTGGTCTCTGGACTCCCAGGACCATGCTCTTTCAACAGAGAAGAGAATCACGTTTGACTCACAGGCGGTCTCAGCGAAATGACTGCGAGGAGACAACTAAGATGCAGAGAGATGCATGCACGTTGACGATTAAAAACCATTCGACACCTCTAGTCCAGGATGTTATCTATCCAGCTAGGACACCCATGTTGTTCCATTAGACAAAAGCCATAAAAAAGTGGAAAACTGCTTACTATATGATCCCAACCCAAAACGTCTGTGCAAGACATGAAGACAGCTGTTGACACATCCACACCCTGCACATGCAGCAAGAAAAACACTCGAGCTCACCGTGTGGTTAGCGCCGCAGGCCACGTCGCGCACGACCACGTTTGGGACTGGCAAGATCTGTCCGTCTTTCGTCTTCTCGATGAAGATGGCCACTCGCCGGGGCACCAGCTCGCAGTCGTACTCTATCCGCTGTGCCCGGGCGATGAACTTCCCGTCTGAGTTGTGTCCTGCAGCGACCAGAGCCAGCGGTCAACAGCAGCCGTGGCGGAGCACCACTCATTACGGCGACAGGCCAAGCACCTGCCCCGACCTGGGTGGCCAGGCCTCAACAGGCCCCTTTGTCAACCAAGGCAGTGTTCTCCCATCTGAGGCACAACCCGATTAGTGGATCATGAAATTGAATTTGTGGGTTGAAACCAGTTGTTTTTAAAAAATGAATAGAATAAAAAACGCCAAAGGATGCTGCTTATAAGAACGTTATTTTGTGAGAATTCTTTGCAGTTCTACGTTCAGATTGGGTTGCATTGTAGAATGTACTTCTTACTGTGGGCTGCAGGCAACGAAGCTGAAAGCTACTAGTCCAAAGGAATGGTCTGCACCCTATTTGGGGGCCTCTATGAAGAGCCCTGGATGGGCCAACAATGGACAAAAGTGCAACATACGACCTCAGACTTGTGTTTTTATGCATTACCAGTAACCTAAATATATCATTACGGTTGGGAGAACACGAGAGTTCAGTGGCACATTCTCTCCTTGCCTTGCCTGACCCAGTAAATGCAGCGTGAGGAAGAGTAGGGGTGAGTGTGTGTGCTGGCGATTCATTTCTCCAAGGTCACATGCATGTTCCAGTTCTGAAAGGGATCTCTGGATTTGGGCAGAGATTGAAAACAGGTTTGAAAGTAAGCTGGCGAGTGAATAATAATGGATTCTACCGATATAAATCAAAAGCCAATGTCTCAATACCTTCAATGAGTATAAACTAAGCAGTAAGACTCCATGCAAAGTACTTAAATGGTGACTGGTATACAGTAACTGCTGGGTGTCAGCCGTTATTGTTACCAAGGTCATCTGATTTTCAACTTGCTAGGACGAGGTGCTTGTTTGTAGATCTGGGGCAGCCACAGGCAGCAGGGGAGCCACGCGTTTCCGGAAGTAGACCAGAAACGCACTTCCCATGTTTTGCACGGGGCCGCGGACAGCATGAGGGCCTGTGACTATGGAAACCGTTTCTCCAACAGTCTCTGGCAACTCCTTGGCAACCAGCACTGAATGTGCGTAAGGAGCTGTTCTTTCTTATTCACTTCTGACTTGAGGTATATTTAGTTTCACAAAGTCACTGTTCCCTAAAGTCTAAGGCCAGCGAGATGCTCCTCGTTCTATTTATATCGTCTTCCATCTGCCGGCTTCCAATGACGCGGAGCCCCGGCAACCCAGATCCGGGGGCAGCCACGGATCCGGAGTGGCATGCAGCGAGGAGCCAGCAGAGGGCGCCCACACCTCACCTCCTACTCGGAAGGGGATGGGGTGGCGGGCGGGAAGGCGCCAGGAAGGGGAAAAACACTTTGGTGTCAGATGCGAAAAGAAAATGGAGACCTTGCACAAATGCAAGATCGAGAGACATTTTCCACTTACGGAGAATAACTTTCTGAGTTTTTCTTTTCTATTCAGTGAGGTACGTTTTTGGATGAGCACATTCTGTTTAGGGATGAAAACGGGAAGGGATCCCAGTCACTTTTAAATGTGGCGTTTTTTGTTTTTGTTTTTTACATGTGGTTCTCCTCACGTATGTACTGAAAACAACTGCCAGACCAGGGTTTCTAGAACAAACTTAATCTCGTGTAATTTCCTCACTTTTGATAAAGGTGAATCTTTAAATATGAGATTAAATGAAGGTGGTTTGATTTCTTTTTTCCACTTCGAATCCTTTTATGTATGAACAAACTCCCAAAGCAGAAAAGAATCTTTTGTCAGACTGGAGCCCCGACTTTTTCTTTAAGGCAAATCCACGACCCTGTGAGTTGTGACATGCTGTTCCACCAAACGTAAGACCTACTTAATGGCCCAAGGCTATTATCTGCGATCAATTACTCACACTTCTAACACATGTCAGCCCAGTACTGACTTCTGGTTCTAAATATACAGTTAGATTACAGAGCTTTTAAAAAATATACTTCCATACCCAGCTGACCATATTCAGGGCACCCAAAGGAATAGAGGTTTCCTTTGCAGTCCATTATCATACTGAATTCAGCCCCACAGGCCACTTTGGTAATTGGCTGGCCATTGTACATTATCTGAAAAGACAAGACAGGAGACTTTCAGACATTTTTTTTTTAAAAACAATGATTAAAACGTCTCTACCTCTCTGTAGGTTTGTGTTGAAACAATTACTAGGCTACAAAAGAAATTTAATGGACTCAATAATTCTGAAGGCAAAAGCTTAGAATATAAAGAAACACTCCGTTGACCCCCATAACTTCCCAGTAGAGTCAGGATCAAAGACAGGTAAACTGTATCCCAGGTCTTTGTAAACCTAAATCACGATGCCTGACACTGTGCCTCGCAAGTCCTGGTGCCCAGTGAGCGCTGAATTATGCTGACCGGTGTGGGCAGGAGGGTTAAAGAAAACAAACTAACAACCCTCAAATCTCGGTTTAGTTACTAGGTTCAGCCTCAACTTATAAAAGTTTTTATAAGTGTTACTGTGGACCAATAAAATGAACTGTCATACGTTCTCCATTATGTCTATAGAGATACTTGACCAATGGTGTTAACTGTAGATGTGAACAAAAAATAAAACGTTTCAAAATCGGTAAATTAGAAGACAGCAAAGGCCCTGAATAACTTAACATGGGATCTGGAAACAAATCTGAGCAATTAGAAAATGTGCTATTTATTGCACACTGCTCAGCCTGGGAAAGGCCCCGACAAGCAGCAGAGGGTACGAAGTAGCAGCACCGTGGAAATCAGCGATGGAACTGGAGATGGGGAGGGAATCCCAGACCCTGTCCACTGGTCCCTGCTTCTCTAGAAACCTGACATTCCACTGTAGGACAAATGGCTGACAAAACGAGAATACTTCAAAAATCCTCAAACCACAGATCGGCTTGGCCAATCTCTTTTAAGATCAAGAAATCTGATTCCCTCCATCATGAAACCACTCATCACACACACTTATTAGCATTTTACTACCTTATATTAGTTCATTTTTTAGGTATAAATCCCACCCTCAAACTTATTGTAGGTTTTTTAGGACGAAGAAACCACCAAGCTCCTATTTGTGTTCTAAGTACCTGGCAGGCGACTTTTACCTTCATACAAGGTCGAATCTCAAAGTATTTGCAGATAATGACAAATCACATCCATATAACATTCCTCACTTTCTTTGGGATAGAACTGGCTTAAAACAAGGCCTCTGTGACAAATTATTTAATTCAGAAAGTAAAACTGCTTTCAGGATATTTTTCAACTGTGAAACCTGTTTTAAAGACTATAGCATATGAATTCCACCCAAACCAGCTAGACTCCATTTTTACAAGGGATCAAGAGAGACGTACAATCTCAACCTAGGATACCGAGCACAAACGCAAAGAGAAACAAAAGGCTGTCAAGGCCGAGCAGGGAGCGTGGTACCTGTGCAGGACTTGGGACCGCGTCTGTCTGGTTGCCGAGGCCCAGCTGCCCCATCTTGTTCTCTCCAAATGCGAACACGGAGCCTGTTTCTGGAAGGAAAGAATGATATCACAAAAGGAAAAATAATACCGAGGGTTTTGAACCAGATTTGGAACCAAAGGCTCCAAAATGATACAAACAGCTCCTTTGCCAAAAAGAATGTAAATAAGGCAGTATTCCAAAAGGTGCTGGAGCGGATGCCTCATGGCTCGGAGCAAAACCACTTCCCAGCAGAGAGGCCCAACGCCCTGCCCTGCCCTGCCCTGCCCTCCCCTCCTCACAGCCTCCCCGGCCTATGAGGCTCTCAAGGCCTTCCAGAAGCACCCACCCAGGCTCACTGGGGCATCTTTCTGATTGTAACGGAGTCACAGGGCCAAGACTAACCCACCACCCAAAGTGGACCAATTGGCCTCTTGTCACGTTAAGAAACCAGCCATTCCTCACCTGTCAAGGCCAGGGTGTGGTTCCGCCCACAGGCTGCTGACACGATCACTTCGTGGCTGAGACCCTCGATGAGCCTGGGGGCTTCAACTCTCTTGGTGTCGCCATGTCCCAGCTGTCCCTTCTCATTTCGACCTGCAGACCAAGAGCAAGATAAAGTGGGAGGCAGAGAGGGCGGCCAGGGCAGCCTCACGGAGCAAGTGGGATCCCTTTCAAATGCAGACAAATCTGGGTCTCCTAGAAGGTACCCTCTAAAACAAGAGAACAAGGTGAAAGCTCTGGCTTTTCAGGCAATGGCTGGCTTCCTGAGGCCTGCCTCACTGGGTCGGGTGACCAGGATAAGATACACGGCACTGTCCCCAGAGATGTCCGTCTCCACCGGCAGCCAGCCTCCAGCCGCCTACGTCAACTTCTCTGACCCTCTTTTCTGGGTCACCGGCTGGGACCCGCCGTAGGGACGTCCTGCAGCTCTCTACGACCAAGGGGAGTGGCCAAAACGCTCCGTTCGGCCTGGATGGCAGACACAAGCAGAAGGGCTCATGGAAACTCAGTTCTCACTTCTCGCGGTACCTGCCAGACCACGATTCTCTCATTCCCTTCACTACGAGATGTATTTTAAGACAGCAACCGTTTCAACACCTGCCTCACAAGAATTTAATTACCTCAGTGCTCTGGGCACCTGCTGTGGACCATTTGGTTTTTGCCTGTCATTCCTCTTCCTTTTACTGCCCTATAAACAATGCTCACTAAACAGTGCCAAGCCCACCTCCAACGGACCACCCTTCACAGAGCCCTTAGCAACCCGAGGGACAGACAAACGCCAGACATGCTCCAAACACAAGCCCTCCCTCTGGAGCTGCACTGGCTGTGGGGTCAGGTGGCAGTGAGGCCTGAGGTGGTGACCCCGGCCGCCGAGTCCCCTGCAACACAGAGGCCCTCTGGCAAAGCCCCTCAGCTCCAGAGCGGGCATGGCGAGTTGCGGGGCCAGAAGGAGCCTGGATGCCCCGAAGCCTTCCCTAGTTTCAACACAGGCTACAATAGTTCCAAAGCAAAATAAGTCAACGGGCCGCTTGCAAGTCCCTCTAGCTGAGAAAAAAACCATACTCGCTACCGAGCATTTTGGGAAAATTTTACAAGGCCAGAAAGTCAGAGCGATTCAGGGAGAGAGTCGCTGTACCCTTCTCCAACAACACAACTTTGATCATTAGATCATGGGAAACCTGGCGAGCAGAGCCACAAAGACGAGCACCCGTCGTCCTGGAGACGGCCTGAGAAGCGAACGGCCTCTGGCTGCCCGAGGAAAACCACACCTGGACGTGTACTTTGATTTCAGTCCTCTAGCAGTAGAGGCAGACGCAAGCTACCCAAGTTCACTGCGAAAGTCACTTTAAACACAGAACAAGTGCTGGGTGCGGTTTTTCGGCACCTGAGCGGCTGGCAGGTACAGACTCTCGTGAGTGATGTGCTGTAGCGCTAATGCTTCCGGACTCTGGACAAGGCCCCTGAGCTTTCAGAGTGACTACTCACAGTGGACCCGTGACATTCCCACTGGCCGGCCACCCCTGCAGCACCGAGTCTGCTCACGGGGCCGTGTCTCTGCCCCGGGGCCATGTCAGAAGGACAGCCTTTAGAACCATCCCCTGCCCACAGGGTCAGCGCAGGGGACATTTTTAGAAGCACCACGGAAGTGAGATTCAGTAGAGACTGGAAATAAGGCATTTCCAGTTCGGCACTCTGACAGAGGCTGCTGTGTTCGGCGCTGGAACGCTCAGTGGGAGGGGTGCCGGCGGGGAGGGACACAGCTCTGTGCCAATCAGGAGAAAATGAAAATCGAGGCAATGTCAGCATGTCATCAAGAGACTATGAAGTATAAATTTGGGCCAGACACACTTGTTAGCTTTTTTTTTTTTCAACTGAATTACAAAATTAGCAGAGTGCAGGGAAGACAACAGATGTTAATATATTTGGACTTTGGTACAGCAGCTCATGAAATTGCAAAAAAAAAAATGGTTCAAACAGACCGAAATAAAAATGCAGTCATATGGGCTAAAAGCTAGCCAAAGGACCAGAAACAAAGGGCAGGGACAAATGCCAACACATCCAGCTGTAAGAAGCGGCCGATGGCTCCCAGGAGGGTATGGGGCTAAACTGAGCCTTAGCTGATACCTGGATTAATGATCTGGAAGGGAAACGGGCAGCAACGCACAGAAGCCCTCTGCAGGGGACACTGAAATGGAAGGGAGCTGAAGGGTAAGGACAGCGACCTGCCAAGTACCCAAGTGAGGACATCCAGCAGCAGGGAATGCAAATTCGGAAAAAGTAAACTGGGGAACAATATGAAGAAACAAACAGAACAGACAACGAGCTACGGAACCTGCAGACCTGTGTGATCCCACAAACGGAGGAACGGGACTGCGGAGACCCAGGGGCTGATGTCACGATGTGGCCTCCATAAAAGCCAGGGGCATTTAAAGTGGCGAGAACAGAGGGCTCACGTCGCACTGCGCTGCGGAACAAGACGGCGGGCCTAAAACAGGGAATTTAGTTCTAGGCACCGTGATATCAGGAAAAAACAGATTCTAGCAGAATGTGCGGGGAAAAGTCGCTTAAAGAGGAGGATGCAAAGAATTAGGGGGCTATGCAGAGACAAAAAATGGCAGAAAAGTGGAGGAAGGTGATGTATCTGTAGGGTACAGATAAGACTAGTGGGAATCGGGGAGAGGAAATGTGGGCTGCGAATAAGGGAGCCCTGCCTTAGAGGGAAGGCACATGAGAAAGAAGTCAGCCCCATGGGGGAATGGCTCCGTGGGTCACCCCAGAACTCAGCCTGAGCTCTCAGCCCAAGCTCGGTACTTACCCCAGCTCCACAGCTTCCCTTCAGTGGTGATGAGAAGGCTGTGGGCTGCACACGACCCCGAAACCACCGTCCGCACGCGGACCCCCGACAGGCACCCATATCTGTGGGGCCCCCACAAATTCTGACCAAGATTGCGGTAGGCAGCTGCAAAGAGAAATATGCAAATCAGATGGCCGCAGTGATGGGTGGGTGAAGAGCACTCTAAAGAAGTCACTAGACCAAAGGATCCACTGTGCTATGTTGCACCCTCAACATGATGGAGCATCCCCAGCGGACCACCCCCAGCTGGTGCACACCCAGGCAGTGGCCACACAGGCACTGACGTTCCACCTCCTTCTCTGGCCCCAACCCATGTGGACCTCGGACCCACGCTCAACGGCTACTGAGCATGCCCACCTCCAGGTGGCTAAGAGGCTGGGTGCCTCCCCTCCTGCAGCCCTGTCGGGGTTGGGGTCCGACCCAGAAAAGCCGGCAGCGGACCCGAGTCTCCCTCGCCCTCTCCCCCGCTGCCAGGCTCCCTTGGTGCGGGCTCCGTGTGCCCCCATCCACTAGACACTGCCTGCCCTGCAGTTCTTCGGGGCCTTGGCATGAGGGCCCCACGTGACACCTCTGCCCCTTCCCCAACCAATCTCCCACCATTTGGTTTGCTCTTTTCTCAGGGGTCCCCCCGTGTTGGTCAGGTCATGATCCCTTGCCTTTGCCCATGTATTCACTGCCCCAGAATGCCCCTCCCTGACCTGCTTGTTCTTAAAACCTCAGGCCAAGCACTCCTCCTCCAGGAAGCCCTCCCTGTCATGTCCCCCTTTTAACTCTTTGCTCGCCATACCCCGGCACCCCACAAATCTGTCACAGCACGTGCCCTACTGAATTCGCATGCCTCCGCACTGGCCATCCGGGGCCTCACCCATGCCTGGCGCATGGTGAGCACTCAGTAACATCACTAGGAGCACGGGAGGAAGAAAGAGCTGCCTTCTCTAAAATCCCCACTTTGTCCTATTAGTGGATGGGGCATGGCCAATTTTTTGCTTAATATTTTCAACTTGGGGCTCTCGAGGACAGAAATATGAGCGTGTTTCTAGGCTTCTGGTGACTGCTATGAAATGCTAGCCACTGCCAACTCAATTGTGTCAGGTTGGTTCAGATGTGGGAACTGATTGAAAGGCTGACTTCTCCATCAATTTCCTGGCTCCATGGAGAAGAATCTGTAAAACTGTTCAGGGTCACCCCCACCCTGCCCATGCCCATGCCCCATCAACAAAGGACGCCAACCTTGTCCTCTCACTTAGTGACAAGGGGCCCGTCAGGCAAAGGAGGGCAGCCCGGATTCAGGACTACAAGTCGATGTTACACATAGCAACAGCCCTGAGCTTCTCCACCCGAGGACACCTGTCTACTACCAGAAGGTGGACAGAAAAACCAACAACTTCTTGGGAATAGGGAAACCAAAAATGACAGCCTTCATAGGTTTCATTAACTTCTTTAAGAAAAACCCAAGGCCTGCTTGTTATCACAAAATCCAAACGAATGCTAGCATGAGTGACGTGTGTTATCTGTGTGAAGAACATGGACACCGTGGAGGTACAGATCCTATGGTTGACCCAGCTTGGCTAAGTGGACCCGTCTCATGGGTAGGGGGATGCTGATTTGCCGAAGCATCTTCCTTCTAGAAGCTTCTGAACACCAGTGCCCATGATGTCCTCAGCCCGGCAGAGGCAGGCTTTTTCCTGGCCTCCTGAGGAACCCTGGCAGAGTGATCCAAGTCAAATCAAAAGGCCGGCAACAGCCCCTGGCCCCTCGGCCAGGCTGCAGTCGTGAACTCCCGCGGCCTGGTCTAATCAGAGAGGGAGCGTGAACCCCTGTGGTATCCTGCAAACAAGCAAGGCGTCCTGTCATGCTGCCAGTTTTATAAGATCCATGGCGATGTGCACGCAAGGGCTCTCCCAGCCCTCGCTGAGAGAAGGTACGCTTCAAAGATGGCCAGAAATTGGGGGAGATTAGGGTGGGAGGGGAAGTCGTCCTTCCCCTCACGTTTGGCACAAGCGGAAAAACAAATCCTGCCTCCCTTCCCTTAACGTCTACTGGCTAGGTCACGAAGGGCCGAGAGGTATTTAAAAATACCATTAATGTTAAAAAAAAAAAAAGTATGTGCGTGTGTACATACATACGTGTGTATGTGTATTACATATATATACATGCACACGTAAAATTTCATTCAGAGGGAGAAAAATCAGGGAAGCAAAGGTAGGAATGAGAGAAGACCAAAAGGCACTCTAAAAATGGGCCCGATAAGGGCAGAATTTCTTCGACTGCAGCATGGGAGCCATCTTTAACTCACAAGGAGGCTTCGCTACCTTCTGAGCCTCACCCTACACCCACGGGAGTCAACTCAGCCTCTGCTGCCACTTTCCACTAGAATTTACTTCCCCTTTCTGAGGCCGGGTGTCTGTGACCGGGAGTGGGCCACTCATGTGAAGAGCAGCTTTGAGAGGAGATGCCACAGGGCTGGCAGACTTAGGTCATCACATGCCAGGAGGGGTTTCCTGGAGACGGCAGCTGCCAGGCAGACTCGGGCCCTAAGTCTGGGCCCTTTTTCCACAGTGGGAGGAAATGGCTCGGACCCAATTCTAACTCAGCTGGACCCCAAGCGGGCGCTGCTGCAAACTCCTGCCGTTTTTATGGAAAAGGATGATCTCCACTGGCCTTCTCGAGGCCCCCGGGAGTGTCAGGGCGCAAATATTTGCTCACAGGGCAATGCTGGAAAGCTCTTTGGGAATCTTTCCAAATGAAATCAAGAAACCATAAAGTGTGGCGCTGTGCCAGCCTCCCTTCTCCGGGATGGGCGGTATTCTCTAGAGGAACGACATCAATTTTCTAAAAGCATTTGGGGACTGAAGTTACTTCTTAGAACTTCTCTGCTACCCCCACTCTCCAGACTGTTACTTGCGCTGTCAAACCAGCTCCTGCAACAATTTGGCAGCTTGCAAAAGAATGTGGACTCTTCTGAAATGTCTAACAGTTTGACATGTGACGTGTGACAAATGTCTAGGACATTCTGACATCCCACAGGACCAGCCTCTTCGTTTTAATGAAGATAAGTGACATGAGAAAGGAAGATGGAGAAAAGGCGTCGACTGAGGCTACTATTTCAATTGTTCCGATCTTAATGGAATTGGTTTTTTCAAAGCAGAATTGTGAAGTGAGAGACTCACAAAAGACCAGGGTTCAAATCCGGTTCCATCATTAGAGAGGCTGTGTGACTTTGGGCAAGTTACCTGGCCTCTCTAAACATTCTTGTAAATGACAAGAATACCTACCTGGTGGATGGTCACCAGAATTACATAGGATACCCAACATATAGGAAGCACTCAATAAATAGTAGCTTTTATATTTTTAGAAACTGTTTCTCATACCTTGTTGTTTAGGCACTTCTTTTCGACCAATCAAGTCCCAGTTGGTTGCCCCAAAAATCAAAAGCTGCCCTTTGCACTTAGACCCTTCAAGTTTCTACAGAGAGAAAGAGAGAAAAAGAAGAATTAGCTTGAAATGCTCTGTCCAGCTTTCTAAGTCTGTCCAACAACAGCGGGAAACAAAAATAATTCACTGTTAGCCAGTGGGCAAAGGCCCGAGGTACTCACCACTTCAGTGTGCTAATCCCAGCCCTGCCCCAGCCACTCACTTGTTATGCTCAGGCTTATTTTTATCCTTTCTCTTTAAAACATGTTTTGCAAAACATACATACATAAACAAGCCAAATGACATTCCTCCCATCCACAGGTATTTTCAAGAGGCCTGTCATATCACCCGGATGTCCTTTGGGGTCAAGTCTACGTTTTCCCACAAGCGTGGCGCTCCAGAGACTTCAGCCTTTAGGAGCCTGTCGCCTCTGCCCAGTAATTACTCCAGTACTTTCCCACTGTTCCTCCAGGTGCCACCCACTGTGCCAAGAGCCTCTGTGGGGCAGACATCCCAGCACCATGATCAACTTCTCCACTGGATGAAGACACTGGACAGCATAGGCAGGGCAGATCTGACCCCAGTGGCCTTGGATGGGCTCATCTTCATTGCTGGCCCATGAGATGGGGAACAGTGGTGACTGGAACAAGGGACCACCTGGGGCTGGGCCACACGGTGGGGGGCGGTGGGGCTGTGGTTCCCAGGCAACCGATTCAGTCCTCCTCCTCACAACACAGTCATTACAGCCACACACTCTCAGGCTGTCAATGGAATATAAGCCATTTTCGAGGTCACTGTCCAATTCTGGGTGGCACTCACTGTAATACCTTGGCACTTTGCTTCATTTCTGAAATGCCCAAATATACTTTTAAAATAGATTGTCAAAGATTCACCTCTGAACTATCCAGTCACACTGGCAAGGGAGGCAGTAAGCTCCCTTCTGCTCTCGTCCTCTGCATCCTCCTCCCAGGACAGTAGAAGGAAAGAAGTTTCTTTCTGTTTACAGAATTGTTCTTGGAAGGCTCAAAGGAAAAAATGCCAAACGGCTTTGGGTCCAGTCATTCTAACCTCTACGCAGTGACTGCCCCGGCGGGACACTTGGCAACATCGTGCATCATTTGTAAGATGAACACATCTTCACTATGAATGAATCAACTTCCTCTTAGGGACCTCTGTGTGACCCAAATCTGACATCATGGGCACCCCACAGTACAGATGCTGTCACGCTGGCTGCTGCTTGATCACATTTACATGGCTGGAGGAAGATGGTCTGTCTATAGCAGAGGTCCCCAAACCCTGTGCCGTGGACCAATACTAGTCTGTGGCATGTTAGGAACTGGGCTGCACAGCAGGAAGTGAGTGGTGATTGAGGGAAGCCACTCCCTAGCACTAGCATCACCCCCTCAGCTCCACCTCAGATCATCAGGCATCGGATTTCTCGTAGGAGCACCAGTCCCTGATACCAAAAAGGTTGGAGACCGCTGGTCTACAGGACACCTCCGGCAGTCAGTGTGTGAAGCGGAAATGAACAGCCAGGAATGGAGAATGACTTGGCTGCACTTAAATTATTTAGAGAACGACCTTAATTGGAGGGTAGTCCACCCCTGCGGCACCCAGACTCAGATTACTTGAATGGAAGCCGAGTTTCCCCTGGTTATCTCCCCTTCTTTGTTTAACTGGCAGGCCTCGCTAGAACATTCTACAGGTCTACTGCCGAAGACAAATGAATGGCGGCCAGTGGGTTCTGTCAAGTTCCCTGTGGAAGGAGCAGCAGACATAGGAAAGAACTAAGACACCGTGGGATGAGCTGCCAGGCCAGAGAATGGCAAAATAAGGGGGGGGTGCCGGGGAGTGGTGCTCTGGAATGACACCACTTCAGGCCTGGCAGTCTCGGCTCTGCCCGGTGGACAGAAGGCTCCAGGGAACCATGTGTCGCAGTCACTGTTAAGCACTCAACACAGAGGTGCAGTCACCACAGCAGCAGTTCACCAGCCTGACTGGCCACTGCAGGACCTGCAGCTCCACCAGACTCTGCCGTGAGTTGTTGCGTAGGGGAGGGGTCTCTTCTGTGACCTGGAGATGCCAGCATCTGCATGAACGGTCAAAGGCTTGTGGACACCGGCCCATCAAGCCAGCTAAGCATTTACACAAAAATCCAACCTTTCTGACACAAGGTGTAAAGAACCTTGGTAAATTGAGTCTGCTGCCGTGACAGCAGACTGAGTCTCACCGAAGGGCATTAAGTGTTATCTTATTCAGGTTTTTTAACGTCACGGGCCTTAGTTCCTCATACGTCAGATGGAGGTAGTTGATTCTTTTAGTGCTGTTAACTATACAAATGTATGCTGTGGGTTCTTGACCTTTATTTTTCTATAATTTAATTCTTCCCTCTATTGTCAATGAAATAAAAAAATTAAAATAAGGAGTGAAACTACTTAAGTCACAGACATGTCCCTGTCAGATAGCCGACCAGGCCCCAACGTGGGAGAGACCACAGATGCCTGGAGGCTCCATGCAGAGGCTCTCCAGTGATGGCTGTGGGGGCTGTGAGACTCTCCCAGGTAGAATCCAGCCCACAGTGATGGCCCAAGAGATTGTTTTTTAGATGAGCTCAGTGTCTGCAATACTGCCTGTCTAAAGCCAGAGACGCTGGAAAAAGTCTCCCCAACAGAATGAATGGATTTCACTTCACCTTGCTCCTTCCTGACAACCCGGTCACGTAAGCTGAGATGAACCGCCCCGGCAGAAAGATGCACTGAGCTTCTTCAATCAACAAAATGGGATTTCTGGTCCAAAGCAAGTTTTGAATTATTGCCTAAGTGCAAGGAGCATGTTTATGAGGCCGAGAGTCAACCTTTAACACACATCCATTAGGAAGACTGCTGCTCTTGGCGGAGGGAAGACCGTTCAGAAGAACGCCAGCAAACAAAAATTCCCTAATGAGCTTTCAACTCAGACTTCAAGCTTGGTTTCCAGTTGTATTTACTTGGTCCCTTCGGATGGGACAGATTTGTCTATGGGTCTACAAAACTTCAGCAACACATCACTGGAAAAACTATAAAGACCTGGACAGCTTGTGACAGTCAGTGTGTTCTCTAGGATTATGCCCAGGCTGCTTGCTTTACCTACAGGGTTACGAAGTTACAGGGAATTCAGGCTGCATCAACCCTAGACCATCACAACATGCTCATCTGACAGAACTATATATGAACTTGAGGTCCTTGGAGAGAGCATTTTCCAAGACTGAAATCATAAGCACGTTTTTAAGAATGGTGTAGAAGAAGAGTTATAAAACATCTTTTACTTGAGGCGGCTTTGCCCCTTAACCATACAAGTCTCTGAGGTTCCTCTTTCACAAGCCCAACGTCTGCAGTTTTAAGTTAACTGAAGGCAACACGGTTTCAGACAAACTCCTGGCCACTGCTTTCATACAAGAAGCTCAGAACAGTGGCGAGGCTTGCAAAACGCTCAAGTAACAGCCTCTTTGACACAGGCAAAGGACTGCTGTCGGCTGGTGGCAGCAGCCTGGATTCCCAGGACGCTTAACAGGCAGAGATCTTGTGTTTCCCTTGGAGCCCAGGATCCTGGGGCCAAGGATACTGGACAGGAGACCCACGCAGGACTGGGACTGGGACAGTGCCGACCAAGACCTGTGGGAAGGCAAAAGGGCAGCATGGGCCTGGCCTTGACCCTGGACCAAACTCAACGAGTGCTAATAAAAGCCTACAACTTGAGACGTGCGCTTCCCACGAGGCATAAAAGAGCATCATTTTCGAACCCTGTCTCCTGAGCCTAGAATGGTGGGCTGACCAGTGCAAAGGAAACAGCTTTGTTTTTTAAGGAGGTGGGAGAAAGGATGTAGAGATATGAATATGTACATATACACATTTCTCTTGGGAACTTTAAAACATGTGAGATGTAAAACAATAAACTGACGCCTGCCTGATCTCCCAGTTAAGACTAAGAACAGGGCCATTCCCATCAGACGAGCAGCTGTACCAAGCTGGTGGGAAGCCTGGTGTCCCTTTGCACACTCTGTGACTACCATCTTGGGTGAATCCCAGCACTTCCTGACAAAACTCACTGCTCTAATGGGCTGGCTGTCAACTGAGTGGAGAATGAACACAGCAGAGGCAGAGCCCACCTGCCCTTTCTTTTCGTCTGTGTAGCACAGTGACAGGAGAGCAAATGTCCCACAGAGGAACTGGACTGGTCAAAGGAACAGCTCCTGTGCTTCAGTTTCTCAAGGCTGTGGCCATTTTCACTGGCACTGGCCTGGCCCCCAAACCTAGATAAGACATTTCAGTGACGTTGCCTTTCACTTCATGATCCTCCACTATCTAACATGTTGACCGTTTCACGTTTCACTGCGGGGGTGTATGGGGGGGCAGTTATCAAGCCCTTTCACACCAGCAATGTGCAGAGGCATAAGGATGACATCAGAAAACACCTAGGCAGTGTGGAAATCCGGCCCCAAGTGGGCTGGGACTGGGTCCTTAAACTCTGTGCCCCAGTTTCCTCATCTATAAAGTAGATGTAGAAATGCATTATTTTCAACCAGTTAAACACTGCCACTGCTCCTCTGAAGAGCACTCTGGTGCTGTTAACCCTTATACACCGTCTGGGGAGAGCAAAGGCCTTCTCTAGATGTCTGACTCTAGACCCTAAGTGGAAGCTCTTACTTTTGGGGGGTTATCTGAGCATCTGGTGAAAGCTCTGAGTGTCTACCAAGCACTCGGCCCACACTACTAAACTTGTCGGTTTTGAGGCTCGCAGACCCCAGATTGAGATCTCTGACTGCAAGGTTTTTGCAGACACGTAAGTTGAGATGGTCACGATCTTAAATTAAGATTTGAAGGCCCAACTCTAATGAGCAAATTCAAACCCACTCAGACCACAGAAGATGCTTCTTGCCCTGGGGGGATGCACTGAGCCATCACCCTGCACTCGTGCCTTCGGACCCCAAGCGGTGAACAAAGCCTAAAACACTTCTCAGCCGAAGGGGGGGCTTCCCGACCTCCAGGGGGAGGGCTCTCCCGAGCATGCGCCCTC